AGAAAGAAATTGCGCAACGTCATTGTAAAGATGGGAGAAAAAGTCTTCCATTTGGTGAGTAGAACGTGTCGGACCCCCGTCACGCAATGAAATAAGAGTTCTTCTTGTTGGGGTTGTAATGATTGTTGTAATGATTGTTGTTGTTGTTGCTGTTGTAAGGCAAGATTGGACAATTCCAGGGTCACTCTAAGAAACAAAAACGATGAATCTCCGGCATCACGTAGGGCTTGCAATTGGGCGTGGGCAATGGCATGGGCATTGTTGGGATTGCCTTGAAAGCCTTGCGGTGGAGGTGATGATAACAAGTGTTGGAGTTCGGCCGTGGCATTTCCCTGCATCGTGATTTATATATATATATATATGTATTGTTGGTGGAGGAAGCACAACTACAAGGCGTACCTTTTGTAGGTATCACGTTTTTGAAGTTTGTTTTGTTGTGTCAATGAAATATAATATTATTAAATAGTTTCAATCTCACGATTTCGGGTACACGTGGTACAGACAGACAACCGAAAGTGTTCGACAAAAACACGAAAAAAAGAAAAACATGATAAACGGACATTACCGCGCGGTTGGACATCAAACACCACGTGGAAATACTACCAAGTGTCTACATGAGACATACATGAGTCACACCGAAATCCTTCCAAAGGTTCCTTGACCGTCTCTCCGGAAAAAGTAGTAGAAACTGTACTAATGTTTACGAGTGGTAGGAACCTACGTCTCAATCTGTGGTAGTGTGTTGCCACATCCATCAAGATTAGGACAAGTGTTGTGTTGTTTGTTGTCGACAACTGGAGTATTCCATTCGATTTGTCATCTGAAAGCCATCAGAAGTCAATTGGAGTCACTCAACACAACAATGGACAAAAAAGAATCGTCGGAAACGGGCTTGCCGTCGAAAAATACGGGCAAAAGCACCACAACGCCCCAACCGGCGATGGCTCGTAGTTTGCCCAATGCCAACTCACAACAGCAATTGGTCAATCCACAAGCAAGAACAACGCCAGACTCTACTCCGCGACGGACGGGACAGCATTTGTTGTCCACAACTGCCGTGGCCAAACAGCAATTGCCATCCTCCACAACAACAAACACAAACACAAACACAAAAGCAACCAACACAAGTAGTAGTCAGCCATCACAAAATCCACCACAACGATTGCCTCCCCAAATGGCGACAGCAGCAGCGGGCCTGCATTATCAGCAACAACAGCAACAGCAACATCAACAACGGCATCAACATTTACCGCAACATCATTTGGTACAGCAACACATGCAACAGCACCAGCAAGCAGCAGCCTTTAATGCTAATGCAATCAAGGGAGGAATGCCACCACAAACTGCGAACCTTGCTCGATCACAAAGCAACAACAGCAACAGCAACAACAACAACAATACGGGAAACGATCGCGTCACGGTGGACAAGGCAGCACACAAATCTTTGGTGAATTCAAGTCAAAGTATGCCGGCTCACAGAGCTGCGGAAGAAGCAGTCATGAGACGTATGCGAGCCTTGCCACCGGGACATACCTCCAGATTGGGTGGAAAATTGACCTATCAACCGAGACCAGCGCACATGGCACCACCCACTGCAGCATCTGCACTTACCAATAAGGGAGGCATGATGAATTTACCACCCAACAACAACAGCAACAGCAATGCGGCGGTAGCAGCCGCCAACATGGCAGCTGCCAATCGGGCAGCAGCAGCAGCAGCCAATAATCCAGCATCCTTGGTACGACAACCGCCTCCCAATAGCATGATGACAGCAACCGCAAAAAACTTGAGCAAAAAATCCACTTCCTCAACAACAGCGCCGCCTCTTCCTGGAATAAAAGCAGCAACACCACCAACAGCAATCAATGCTCCCATACCAATGCCAATGCCATCTTCTTCCGCCATCGCAGCTGCAGCGGCAGCTGCTCAGCAACCACCCGTATTAGACGAGGCTACCTTGATCGAAGAAGCGATTCGATATGCGAGGGAACCCTTGGCGGAGAAGTATGCGCCGTATATCGTACCCTCGGACAAGACGTTGGTGGAAGCAAGGAGTCGACTCAAAAAGGCGATTGAACAAACCAGGCAATTGCGGGCAGCCTTTTCGGAACGAGTTTATGGCAAGTATCGAGTGTGTTTGCGACCCCCACCCACCACGGAACAAATCTTGGCCCGAATACAATCCAATCCAGCAGCAACCCATCAACAATTGTTGGAAGAGATTCAAACGCTCAAGGCCGAGAAAGAAATTGAAAAGAAGGAAGCCCAAAAGTTAAATGCTGAAATGACGGTGGCCAATGAACAATCGGCGGAGGGCAAGGCGGCGACTGCGGCGGCGGTCAATGCGGAAACGGCGGAACAACTCATGTTCGTCAGTGCCGGACTTTCGTTGATTATATTGCCCGAACAAGATGTGGCAGGGACCATTGATATGAGTGGATATCCAGACCGGGCGCCCGTTAATCCAGAAACGGGACAACGGGTGCGAAGCATTAGTGTGGCAGCGGCGGCGGCGGGAGAAGTCATGTTGGATCGGGCGCGCAAGGGAGCGACCATGAGGATGGAACGACAACGGCGGCGACAATTGCAAATCATGGCGGGAGAAGATCCTGAAAAGGAACATCCGGAAAATACCTATTCGCGATTGTCATTATTGACTAGTACCAATACATCGACCACCGCGGTAGTGGCGGCGTCGTCGTCGGCGGCGGGAGCAGCCAATAATGCTCTGTTGGGGTCCAAAGTTGCGGCAGCCAAGGTTTTGGGAACAACTGCTGCTGCACCAGGAGTGACACCATCTACGACGTCTTTGCTCCATCATTCCACCTTTCATTATCATAATTCATTGACTCCAAAATCATTTAAGAATCACATTGGTTCGGCAGCCTTGCAAAAACCAAAAGTAGACAATCCCACGGCACCCATTATCAGTGCCAAGGCCATTCGAGCTCGAGTCCAAGCGACCATGTCCAACAATACCCTACTGAGTCTCAATCCGACCGCAGAAGAAGTGCGACCCGATGGTAAACTTGGACCGGCTACCATGGCCATGATTGAATTGGGAGTGACAACCACCACTGGAGGTAGCAACAGCAACAACAACAACAACAACAACAGCAGCAAGTTATCGGCCCAACAACAACAGCAACAACGATTTCGACACCCCTTTCCTACTTCGGTGGGAGCGAAACGACGAGCCTTTTTGGGGACTCCACAAGCGACCAATTATGCTGTGCCACCCATTCCAACCGCCAAGGAACGACGAGCGATTCGGCCCCATCCAGTGGAGGATACCGAACATGTAAGGACGGAACGAGCCAAGGATGCTATTCAAGGAGTCTTGAACCAATATATGGTTGTGGGACCACAACAACAACAACAACAGCAGCAAAAGAAC